GAGAGAGAGAGAGAGAGAGAGAGAGAGAGAGAGAGAGAGAGAGAGAGAGAGAGAGAGATCTGTTCGACCTCAGCACACGTCCACGACGGATGGTTTTGGCCGCGCGTGGTAATGTAGAAGGTATGCCATCCGAGACTTGGACGAATCTGACCGCAATCACATCCAGAGCTTAGTAGAAAAAGTCCGAGTGTGAGTATGCCGTACAGTCAGACCTTTCTACTAAGCTCTGGCCGTGATTGCGGTCAGATTCGTCCAAGTCTGGCCGTAAGTGCCATCAGATACATTTCTGGAAGTGCTAGTGTCAGGCCTCATGTAAGCACATAACGTATCTGGGAAGTGGACAAATGAGATTGAATCCTCCGCTTGAACATGGAAAGATACATTGCCATATCTGTCTTGTGTGCATGTCGAGAGTAGTACAGCGAGGCCGTTGGTGAATAGTCCCGTTGAGGTTCTGACAGGCTGGACGTGTGGGGCTTCGCTCCACCACTCACCACATGATCAAAAGAGCAAAACCAGGGCGATGTATCTTTCCATGTCCTAGCTGAAGATTTCTCACAGTTGGTGCCTCTTCTGAGGGATTCTGGCGACGGGTAAGTCATTCTGATTTTCTTCCTTTACGTTCTTTTCTTTTTATTATTAGCAAAAAACTCCAGGAAAAACGGCTGTCAGTTCCGCCGTCGTTTTCTTAATAAGAAGCGAACGTTTTGAGAGATCGCGACCCTCATCATGACTGAATCTGGCCTGCAAGAACCCTGCCATACAGACTGCAAGAACCCTACCATACACACAGTGTTACACGGACTATAGATTTTACTAAAAGCTTTCAGGCCAACGCGTGGCCTCCAAAAAAAAATTGCCTGCCCGTTTCTTATTTTACGCGAGCAGGGGGCCAGGTCTACTACTGCCCCTCACAACTTTTTTTTTTTTTTTCGACCCCTGTTTTTAGAGGTGGGCCGCATGCAGTGCGCACGCATCGCGATGCGCCGCATGTATCGTGTTTTTTTCCTTGACGAAAGGAAATACTAAAATAGTGTACTTCGTACGTTCGGCTAGACTCCATTGTGCCTCCAGTTTCGACGGAAATTTCACCCAAGCAGACTCTGTTCTGCATCCGGTTGACACCCAAGCCCTGTAGATGGGAAAATTTTCAGGCTTTTGGAATGCTCCGGCGGATGGTTTGTCATTCATCTAAGAAGAGTATCTTGCTCCGTTCCTTTTATTCCGGTTTCTCAAAACGGACCATTTCGCAATTTATGTGTGTCATCCTTGTGCAGTGGCCATGCTAATCTTCTCTGTATCTCTCCAATTCTAATGGATGCCCTGAAGGACCATAATCGGTTTTGGGATCGCCGGATTCTCAAAAAGGAGCTGGTTTAAGCAGCTAAAGGACGAAGAGAGTATCTTGCTCCATTGCTTCATAAGTGGCTTTTCATGCCTGATGGTGCTATTTTTTTAGCAGCGACGAGATGCTAAAAGCATGGCCTGCCACTTTGGGACCTGCTTGCGAGCATAGCCTGCCTCACTGGGGCCTGCCTCTTGCGAGCATGGCCTGCCCGACTCGGACCTGTCTCCTGCGAGCATAGCCTGCCACACTGGGACCTGCCTTGTGAGCAGGATCCAGGGCTGATTCTGCGAGGTGGTGAGGTTCCGTACTGGCCAAAATTAACTTTTCCGTTCAGTACTTCGTGCATAAGATGCTGATGGATTTGTTTATAAATTCTGTTCTTCATTAATCGTTTCTCTTTTTTTTTTTTGAAAGCACTTTTCTAATAACATTTGTGCCTGACGGCCAGTGGCAAGGCTTACGTAGTGAAAGCAAGGTCTATGTTGTGTTTATAGATGGTAGGAATTGTTGATAGATTCGATCGGTCCTCTGTAGCCAAGATGAATTCTACGATAACGGAGAGTCCAAGGGGATACTGACATGAAAGCTGTTCTGAATGTATCGGACAACGCTTTTGCCCATATTTTCAGCCGGAAAAGTCTAGCATGAGTATACGTGCAAAAGTTTGAACAGGTCAGTTCTGTGTTATGTCATGGTTCGTACTCGGATTTTCTTGATTGAATCGTACCGTCATGGTGGTACATTCAGGAAAGTGCCTCTGTAGTATGGGCTTATGATGCCAGGTCCTGCTATGGCATTCTTTAGTTTTCTTGAGAGACAGGATTTTGAACGGCTTTTTTTGGGGGGGGGGTTGGGTTAGGGCAAGTTGCCACCTACCCGAAGGCCATGCCCCACTTGCGGAGGTTTGCTTTGGCCAAAAGAAAAATGAGGCAGCTCTTTATCTGAGGCGGTTAGATCATGGGGTGCCCGAATATTAAAGCTTAGGTTTGTGAAAAAGACCTGCAGCTCATTTTCTTCAGGTGCATGAGCCACCAGAGGAACAAAAGCAGGCACGTCCTCGTTTCTAGGGGATGGACTAGAAACGAGGACTGCCTGTTTTTTTGCTCAGGTGGCTCATGCACCTAAATAAGGATGTGGTTGGTCTGGCAGCCATCAGGTACACTGCTGCAGTTTTTGTTTTCATCTTCTTTTCAATTTCATAATAGACAAAGCTGATATGTTCTGGCAGCCTATGATCTGATGGCCTCAGATAAAGAGCTGCCTCATTTCTCAGTGCATGTGGGCTGTCGTGCAACTCAAGCGAAAACCAAACCTCCGTAAGTGGGGCATGGCCCCTGGGTGTTGTTGTCTCACACTCAGCGTGGTAATCCTTGTCATCCATTGCCCAGAATAAAACCGTGTTTTTTTTTTTTTTTTGTAGTTAGGGCAATGTTTCATTTACCTGGCTGTACTTGTCCTGGAAGTTGGAAGAGTCATTTTGCCCGGATTGGAAAATTGCCAGCCTTGGGTTACTTAGGTGAGCACACTTATCTTCACCTTGCCTGGATAATTAGTGTGACTGTTAAACCACCAGTACTTATGACCCTTTTCCTGTTGAGTGGAAAAGTGCCCTGCGCGTCAAAAGAAAACGAGCCGCACATTTTTTTTTTTTTTTGGTTGGCGCCGCC